GTGGGTCATAGAGGATCCTGCTGTGATTTATGTCGGAGAGTGTTTTGCCTATGTTCTCCTCTAGGAGTTTTATAGTTTCTGGTCTTACATTTAGATCTTTAATCCATTTTGAGTTTATTTTTGTGTATGGTGTTAGAAAGTGTTCTAGTTTCATTCTTTTACAAGTGGTTGACCAGTTTTCCCAGCACCACTTGTTAAAGAGGTTGTCTTTTTTCCATTGTATATTCTTGCCTCCTTTGTCAAAGATAAGGTGTCCTATTTCTGTATTTATATCATGCCAAGTCTGTTTGTTTTCCTATTAATACTTTAGAGTCTCAGGAATTGGGAATGACCATATCATCAGTTTTCAAACTTTTGGTCTCTTCAAACTCTAAAAAGTTACTGAGGACCCCAGAAAACTTTTGTTTACATGGGTTTTATCTGTTGATATTTACCAAAATGTAAATTAAACCTGAGAAATTTTAAAAATTGCTTATTTTAAAGACTAATAACCATAATTTCAGAAAGCTAATGAGAAAAAATGGCCTTGTTTTACGCTTTTGCAAATCTCTTTACTACCTGTCTTAATAGAAACAAGATTTGTCTTAATAGAAACAAGATCTCTCTTCTTTGGCATTCAACCTGTGATATGCTATCTTGATGAAAGAATATGAAGAAATTCTGGCCTTAGACAAAAATTGTAGTTGGAAAAGGGAAAAGTATTTTTGGTATTATATAATACCCAACAAGTGGTATTCTCTTAGAAGTTAATTGCAGTGTGAAAAGTGAAGCCATATTATAGAACTTTTTGGCCAGTCTTGAACTTTGAGTGGATCTTTCACCCATGCATAGTTCTTACCATCATTCATTGTTCGTTTGCAAAATACTGGTTGTGAGTTATGCAGATCTTCTAAATGTTGTCACCTTTCATTACACAGCATCAAAAGCAATCACATTTGTTAATATCCCCACTGATCTCATCAGAAATGTCTGTAGGATTTGAAGCTGTAAGACTTACGGGGATGGATGCAGAGTTTTCCAATATTTGATTTTCCCCTTGAAAGCTCAGTTTTTTTGTTGGCAGCAAATACTATTGGTTGTTTCTCTTGAAGTGACAGGCTCATGTTGTTTATTTTTGAGAAAATGTCTGCCAGATCTCCAAATGTGAATAATCATAGTTTGTTCGTCATTCATCCAAGAAGAATTGGTGTTCCATGGAAAGGGCACCTAGTTCAGCTCTGAAACAGTCATACAAATGCTTCCCCTTCAGATAGTCATTATGCTTCGATATGCAGTAGACGTGCTTTTGGTTTACCTCTTATTTTGTTATACAGAATGTTAAGAGAATGTGTATCTGGGGTTGAGAGTTAATAAAATTAATAAATGAATCTTAAGATATTCTTATGTGAAACTGACTTGCTTTCTTCCTGAAAGCCTAAGACTCCTAGGCCAGTTGTGTCCAGCCTTGGTTTGTGCTCAGGAGCTGGCAGTTTTGGCCACCATTCTTTTTGCACCATCAGTTCTAATGTCACACAGAAGAAAAGGCAAATCAAGTCTTACCGTTTCTGTAAAAATAGTTTTGACTTTCTAGACCTTTGAGAGAGT